CAGTTGGACAAGATGATTTGCCTTTACCTTTGACCTTCTTTAATGATGTTTCGAAATTATGCAGGCCTTAAAGCGAATATCCAGCCCATGCTAGTTAGTGTTAATTTAATATTTCTTTTTTGTTTTCTTACAGAAAAAGCTGCTCTCCGTCCATCCAGGAGCATGGAGTCCTTGTACACAGGTGGGGCTTAAACCTTGTTGTAACTATTTGCATGGAACTGAAACAAACTGCATAAATTTTGGATGTTTTAATTAAGCAAAAGACTTTCTCTTTGCTTCGTTATAAAAGAGTACCATTGCATATGTTGTAGTTCTCAGAAATCGTGTGGCACAACATTTTCTTATGCTAATATTTATCACTTTTGGACTTTTAATTGCAGATGATGACAGAACAGGAAGCAATAGTCCAGCTGGTGGACCAGGCAGTATTTTCATTCCGGATGTAAAATCCAGAACGCTGGGATCCGACTCGCTCTGTGACATCAGCGAACATGATCAAAACTGGGAGTTTAAAGGGAAGAACACTGGGGGGGCAACGGGTGGCTGGAATGTCAGCGAGAACCAGAAGGGGTCTGAGGCCCCTCAGAAAAACCTGCCAGAGCAGCTCAAGGTGTTTAAAGGTGACGACCTCGGTGGCTACAAGCCCACCTCCCCAAAAAACAGGAGGATGTTGTACTCGGCTTCCTCGCACAACAGCTCCTCCCGACCCTCCTTTCCAGGAAGTTTCTTCCCACTGGAGTCTTCGCCGAGGCATCAGCGCAGAGCCGTCAACATATCTGAGCCTTTTGCTGTGTCTGTACCTCTGCGTGTGTCAGCAGTTATCAGCTCTAACAGCACGCCATGCAGAGGGCACGGCAAAGAAAAGGCAGCTACTCTGAAACCCTGCAAAGAGACTTCAGAGCAGAGCGGCAACAGTGGAAAGAGCAACACTTTCCCTCAACTGGAACGGAAGAGGCAGGAAAGAGCAGAGAAGAATAACGTAGAGGAGGTGACGTCCAGGGTATCGTCACAAGGTAAGGAGGCCATCTTCCTTTTTTTTATGTGAATTGTTGCTCACATCTAAAGTCATACTTGTGTAACCAGTTGCAATGAAAACAAAAAACATGTTTTATTCAGATATAAGGAAAGAAATGGTCCAAGACGGTCAAGGAGAGAGTATTTCTCAACTGGAATTGCAGTCCCTTGCAAATGCAAGAGAAGGCAAAGATGCAGCGCCATCTTCTGGGAAAGAACTCCACAACCTGCCCACAGAGAAGCAACTGGTAATCATCTCCGATTACAGATGTTGTCTTTTGTTATAGTTCAGGTGTAACACTCCATAATAATTTGTGAAATTAATTTTTTTTTAAAGAATAAGTGCTGTATTTTCTAGTATTATTAGTATTTTGCATCACGTTATTTACTCAGGTTTAGCCCCGATTCGTGCAACTTTTAAAAAAAGGAATTAACCAGACCCAATAACACTGCTTTAAAATACCAGAAATGTTTTAGTGTGGTAACCCAGTTGTTCTTGCTCATGTAAATTTGCTATAATTTGTTACTCTTTGCTAATCTTTGCTTGCTTATCCCTTATAACTTCCCAGGATAAGAGATCTTCTACTGGCAAAGACCTGTGGTCTGACCTAAACCAGGAACTGAAAATAACTGAACCCGAATTTGACCTGCTGGATGAGAATGTTAAACAAGTTAACGTCTCAACAAGCATTTGTGTGAACACTAAGTTAACAATGGATGTTAAGGCGAAGCGCAGCCGCAGCTCTCCATCTCTGTCTTTGCTATGTAGAGAGCAGTCTTCAAATACCTCTCGGAGTGATTGTGAAGTCTCTGCAAAGAAGCAGCCTTCAGAATCAGACATCTTACTGTCTCTTCACAAAACTGCACCGCCTACTGACACGATGGATGAGAAAGAGAAGAAACTGAATCTTAAAATCCCACCCTTAAACAAAGATGACTCAGTTTACACCAAGCAGAGCCAGCTTTGTCCAAAGGAAGCCAGTTCAGAGCAAGTCATAAATCATTTAAGAATTGAGGATGTTCTTGTGGTTGCAGATAATATAGACAGGAAATCTCACAAACACGAAATTCCTCAGGAGAACCAAAATGCCTTCAGTGATGGAGCGAAGAAAGTTGTGATTCCTGAGTTGGAGATCCCTCAGAGGCTTCCAGTGTGTTTGGAGGAGAAACGTAGCACACTGGAGCTGCCGAACCTCGACGATGATGAAGGAGGGACTTCAGAGGAGCTGGACCTGGTGGAGCCCTGGGAGGATATTAGCTCCACTAAGCAGTGGGTTACAAGCCCACTCCACTCACCGGATGTGGAGCACTTATTTAACCACCTGTCACCCTTCAGCTCACACGGGGAAACTTTGAACTTAGAGGTGGAGAAGAGCTCATCTCCTCAAGCTGATAACAACAAGTTCTTCAAGAGCACCGAATGCTCTCCAGGAAACCTTCTTCAGACTACAAACAGCAAACCAGAAACAACGTGGATGTACGTTCCTTCAGCACCTACACGGTCGAGCTTGAACAGCAATAGCACAACACAACCTCAAACAGAAAAGGGCAGCACAACAAAATCGAAGAACACAGCGTCATCTCAGAGGTTTAATAGACAAATGTCGTATGAGGCAGCAGCTTCAGAGAAAAGAGAGGAGAAATGCTTTTCTAAACACAGGCCCTGTTCGCTTAACTTGGATCTGGGACATAGGTATATCAGAGACATTTCTAATCAGCAAAACCGTACTTCAGCAGAGTTTTCCCCCTGTCAGAGGGGGCTAATGGCCTCATCTGGAGCTGTGAACAACGGGCTGCCCTCAGAGTTGGAGCTGTTTCTGAACGATCGGCAGGCGCCTCTCCGGCGAAACTCGGCCCCGGTCAGCGTGTCTTCTGTGCGGACAGCGTTCATGATAAAAACGTGCCAGGCCAAAGCTGTCCCTGTCATCCCCCCAAAGGTGCAGTACAGCCAGATACCTCACTGCAGACCCGAGAATGAATTTGACAGAGTGAAGGAACAAGAAAAGGAGAATCCGGAGAAAAGCAATGCTGCGCCTCCTCCGAGCGTGTCAGACCTAAAGGAGGAGCTGGAGAATAAAGAGCCAGCCCCCATACTCCAAAAACAGCCAAGTGTTGAGAAATCTGCCGAGTCTTTGAAGATCTCATCCACTCCAGAATTGCCTGTGATAACCAGGAGGCACACACCCAGCCTGGAAGTGTTTGTGGATTGTCCCAGACCCAGCAGAGGGAACCTCTTACAAAGACCGTCCTTTAGGAACAGACAGAGACCTCAAAGTCTTATCCTGCTCAGTCCTCCTTTTCCCATCATGGACTATCCGACGTCGGGGGATGACGGCAAGCTCCTTTCACCCATCAAGAGCCTGAATGACGCGTCAGCAGCGAATGTCTTTTCTAAAGAGATGGCCGAAAATTTCAGGACAACAGAGGGGATCGCTCTTCAGAATAAAATGACTATCCCAAAAAGCGGACAGAGACTGGAGACATCAACCAGCTGCTTCTACCAGCCACAGAGAAGGTCGATGATATTTGACAGCAGGAGCCACAGGCAGATTGAGTGACTGGAGATCCACTCAATGACCATGTATGTAAATAGATGCGATACATCAAGATCCTAAGGAAGATGATATGATAACCTGTTGTACATTGTATGACTCACACATTCCTTGAAAGGCGGTTTAAAAACAGGAAGTAAGTGGGAAAGAGGAAAAGGAAGCCACGATGTGCCTGAGTGCCATTTATCCTTGAGTGACATCTGCAACCAATGTTTTTTTTAAGTCTCCATTAGTCTATTATTTTGGTCTCTATTGTGTTAGAGATTGATTTGCTGTCATCTATTTGTTTTTAGCTTAATTAGGAAATTTATTTAAAATTCATTTTAGGATAACAGACATTCTGTCTCATTCCCAAGGTGTGCTATGATATATTTGAGATTTAAATCCTACCCTGTCAAAGAGAATCACTGTCAGACTGGAAAGTATGAAAAGCATCCTTTTGCTATTAAAACTGCATTTTTTTTTAAACTTGCAAACTGGCTGCTGGGCAGCTTTTGTCATAGATGAAATAGTGAGCTGTGCTAAATATTTTCTGATGAATGAAAAATCACTATTGACCTTTTAAACCGTAAAAAAAGGAAAACAAAATCTTAACTCAGGGTTGAAAAACTGGTTATTTATCCAGAGGCTTGAAGTACCATTTTAACCATACACAGCTTCAAAATCCAAGTTATACATGAAAGTAAAATGTTACCAGCAACACAGACCTCTGAAAAAAATGTCCCTGCGAGTGATTTTTTTTTTAAATTTTGTATGGAGTCATTTGGTGTTGCAGTGTCTAAACCACATTTTACAACCACAGTTAGAAGTGAAACCTGAGGGGTCTGGAGATGATTAATGAAGTAGGAAAGAAAACGAAGGGAATATCTGTTGCACTGATTAGTAGATGTTTTTGTGCATAAAAGGGTTAGTAGCTGTATCTGTCTGATATAACAGAAATGTAGTTCAGTAAAGTAGAAGTATGGAGAAGTTTAAAGATATGAAATGGAAATATTCAAGTCAGGCACACTTAGTTCAAAATGGTCAGGTTAGGAAGGTTTGGTATGGAGTAGGTAGGTAATCCATCCTCACACGCATATTTAAAGAAATACATGGACAGCAGATAAGCACAATGTACCATAATGAAGACATAAATAATAAGCTAGAGGATCCACACAGCAGCATGTAAGATTTTAAAATAGCTATACTATGATTTGCGTAAATGAGTTATCGCTGCAGGAACAAAGCTGAGTTTTTTAAAACAATGTTGTTCTGCACTTTGGGACTCGGAGCCTTTGTCCAGAAGAAAGAAACTGAAACTCACGATGGAAAGCGGTGCCGTAGACGCGGCTCACCCGTCAGCCCGTTAGACCATTTGATTCAGTGAGTTTCTGTTCTTTATAGATAAATATGACACTGAGGAAAAGGGCAAAGCAGCCTCAATGAAAGCATGATACAATAAACTCAAGGTGGCTTTATCAATGTGCAAATATGACAGATGATAGAATATGGGTTTGTTTTTTTTACACGCAGCTTTTTACAGTTTATTAAGATCAGCTTTAAATCAATAATTATTCCAAGAAATGTATAAAACTGAAGATATTCCCTCTTAACCCCTAGTGAATGGATATTTGATGCATGAGTTTTGAGGAATTGTAAAACTAAAAAAAAATACATTGCACAATACAAAAAAAAGCAAATTAAAACAAATGAGAGCTCATTTATGCAAAATTATATTTAATTTTTGTTTAATTAAGTCAATAAACACTCCTTTTTCCCATAAAGTTGAATATTTTAGTATCATTTCATTTTTCAGGATTTAAATGGATGTTGGATGTAAACATCTGTGTATGAGTACATTTTCTAAAATCATGGATCATAATAATTATCTTCAATTTTTTTAAATAGTAGAATATAATGAAATCATCAATGTACCAGCTTGTGATCGGTCTCATTATCCTGGAGTCATCCAACAACAGCAGAGTCATCTGGATACTTTAAATTGTCCTGTGTTCATACCTGCCCTGTCACATGTTTTTGCATGGGATAAACAATAACAGTGAGATAACAATATGCACATTTCAGTTATCCGTTAGTTGCATCCAGTCAATTTGCAAGTCAAGAATCCAGCCCACAAGATTTTTATTGAGGCCAAATTGTTCGAATAGTTTGCTGATTTAACTCTAAGGCAGAAATGTGCTGAAGGTTGAAGAAAAATTGACCCACAGCAGACGAGCATACCTTTACGATTTCTGCTCCTCTATGCGGTCTGTAAGCAAGCTCCACGGGTTGCATTGACTAACCACTGATGGTTAGTCATTTGTTATGGAGAGAGCTGAGTCTGCAGGAGCGCTGTCTGGATTCTGGTACACTCATTTCTAAAAATGTCAGAATACAGACACTGGAAAGAAACCTGTCCCATACTCGTGAGCGATGTGATGACACCGCATGAGATTATGACCTTTTTACATACGTCAACCTAGTTTGTTCTCAATAGCCTGAATACAGATCTCAAGCCTGATCCTTTACAGGAAAATGACTTTATTTATTCCTTTATAAAGTTTCACGTGACTTTACGTAAACCTGATACTGTATATTACACATGCAACGACAGGCTCAGTGCAGAGCTGGTGGCTGTTTTTTTTTTTTAAAAAAAGAAGTATTTAAAAGGAAATTTCTATTTCCAAAGTCAGTATATCAGCACATGAATTAAGAGCTTTAATTCCTGTGTCACTTTTTTCTGTAATATGATTGAATGGATTTCACTTTGGATTTAATGAGAGGGTTTTATTTGGTCATCTGATGATGTGATCAGCGCTGCTCGTCAGACAGTAAACTGGAGCTTGAGTTTGTGCGTGCTGACTGTATTCACTGTGCTTGGATCTTAATGGTGCTTTGTGTAAAAGTCAAATAACACCATCTCCGTTTTACATTTTCTGCTATTTTTGAGTGAACAGCCCAAAAAAAGAAGAATTTTTTTTTAATCACTTTGTATGTTAAATTGTATTTAAGATGTCCTTCATGTAATTAAAACTTGCAGTGTTTTTATACTGTAGTTTGGACAGCCTGGATGTGTGATTAGTGTCATAGTGTTTAATTACTTTGTAACTCATGTATACTTGTTGATACTGAAAATTATTGATTGAATTGCGTGTAATCATGGAGTGGGGGGAGCCTTTGAGATGAGCTTTGCCTTAAAATTATCTGATTATGGCACCTAAAGTAATGTACATAAGATGAGTTTTGTTACAACAGAAAGCTATGAAAATAAAATGTTCAAAAAAAATTACATAAATCAGCGTGTCAATGACTGTTATTAAATCACGGCATGTCCAGCTCACCACTTCAGAGCTAGAGTTTAATTATTTGTTAATTATTAGTTTACTGACGTTTCCACTTTGACAGCATGAAGTGTTTTGGTGCCCCCTGAAAATGAAAGCAACCAATCCCAAAAATGCAAAAGAAAGAAATACTTCTAAATATTTTAAGGAAGAAAACTTTTCATTTGGCTATATTCTCCAAAGAAAAAGTTTGGGTTCCTTAAGTTCTTAGTCATAATTCCCCTCACAATCACAGCTTTCAGCTCTTCTTTGTTATTTCAAAAGGCTTCTAGCTCTGTGATCTTTCACCACTGCTGTTTTATATTGGTAAACATTTGGAAATGATCCCCTTTCTGTCTTTGGTGTTTTCTCTTTTTTTTTACAGACTCAAGAATTTGCTGATACCCAATAAAAGTCTGTTCTTTTCTCATGCAGTAAATTGTCCCCTGACCCAGTGGCTGCAACACCAGCCCAAATTCAGCCAGCAAATTCTGTTTTCATTTCAGAACTTCACAGACTCCACAAAAAAAACACCAAACATGTTCAGATGCTTGTTGTTTATTTTATTTCATCATCAAAGTTTTCGGTGATGACTGTAACAAGGCCCACCCATACGAAACTGATTCAAGTCTGAGTAATGAGTAGTCTTGGTAAAAGTCATGAGTGCTGCACATATTTTGTGTAACGCTCCTTTTCACCACTTTGACGTGGCACAAAGGATCAGTACACCAAGTTTGCTTTAAATATTGAAACAAACGCTTCATCTTCAACTTTGTAACTTTTTGGTGATAACTTCATCTTCTACTTTACAGTAAGAGACCACCATTGCTTCTCTTTCCTTGTGAAAGGTACATGCAGGCTGAATACAGTTTAATAGGTTTTTAAAGAGTGCTCTCCTGACTGTTTTTCTGCCCTACTTAAAAAAATGTATCTGGATCTTAGTGCCAATCTTCACAAGTGGATGATTAGATAGGAATTCTCTATTTTCCTCTCCTTTTCAAAGCAGCTCCCTGAAAGGAGAATAACAGAGCTGACCGGTGCTGCTGCCTGAATAAGAAGTATTCCTGTAAGGGGGCCCCCCGAGATTTTTCATGTCAAAACTCTGTAAGCCTGGTGGAACACACGCTTCCATTTTAATCTCCTGGTTCTGTGCTTTGCCACCAGGTGACGCTCCTGCTTCACAGTGCACATCCGCGCAAGCCACCCAGCTGCGGAACAAACAAACAGACAAACGCGTTGAAAACGGAGAAAGCGCTCCAGGCACGTGAAAGTGTTTCAGCTGCTTGGCATACAAGGCGATAGAGATGGTAGAGTTGTGGTGCCCTTTATCTGTCGGCCGAGAGAATCACTCGGGTTGTGTGTCACTTTGGTTCCAGAGTGTTTTTTAGTGCGTGTACTTTGCGCGTGTTTGTGCGTCTTTAGGGGAAAGACAACCGCTCGTACTCTCTCCTGACCCCCCTCCCTTTTTTTTTTTAATTAAAAAAGGGTTTCCTTCTGCATGCCCACACAGTAACAGCATAAGGTCTACGTACTGCAGCAGCATCTCAGCAACAATTCTGCTACTACCTGGAACCGAAACTGACAGAATGCTTTAAAACGCAATGACACACAAGTCTTTTTTAACACCATCAAAAGCAAATGAAAACTCTGTAATTGATTTTTTTTCTTTCTAACCTAGACACAATAAATAGGCCACCACCAACAACAACAACAACAAGTTTCTTTTTCGCATCTCAGTGCGCACGGCACAGCTCTGTTATCCCCAGTTTTTACGTCTAAGTCTGATATTTACATCAGTGGCCTGTGTGCAGGTGCCACAGTCAAACGCCGACAGAAAACAAATAAGTTTCTTTGTCCAAATGTCAAATCTCATACCTATTTAGACAGAAAAAAAAGACAAATCATCCTCGGAGGCATTCAGGGTGCGTCAGTGGTGGCGCTCGCAGAGGTCTCTTCCATGTCTGAGCAGTTCATTATTTCTCAACCTTTGACACTGCTTGTGTATGGGCCGAGAATTAAAAAGGCGTATTCTGAGCACACTGAAAAAGGCAAGCAGAGCACAGTGCGCGCATTGAATATTCAATTAGCGAGGGGCGACTGAGGAAAAGTGAAGCTGCGTGCCAGTCCTTCATCTTACACTGCTGATTAGCTGTTAAACAGATTATATACAGTTGAATGGGTTCAAATGTTGCAGCAGAATGCAGCCGGAGTTCAAGGCAATGACGAGCGGTTTTCTTCCTTGCCACTTCAGCAAGCTCAACGCACTTTGTCACCAACAACAGCTCCGTAATGAAACGTGTTGCTTTTGCGGGGTTTTTTTTTCTTTCTTTTTTTAAATAACATTCATTTTATAACACAGCGTGAGCAGCTGAACCCATTTCCAGTCCATCAGTGCAGGTCGAGATGTTAGTTGAAGCTGCAGCGAAATATAAAATGATAACCGTCATAGACTGCAGACTGCGGGGATAATATTTTTCTGCCTTCTAAATGTTAAAGCAAAATTAAACCTTTTTTTTTTTTTTCATTTATAGCCACACAAACAAACCCACTATAGTTTTATAAGTAAACGCGTTCCTTAGGCTTACTGACAAAAACTGTTACAAGTCTTTTAAAAACGCCTCACATCCTCAAGTGATGAAATGTTAAGCTAAAAGTGTATTAAATTCACTAAAGTCCTGATTGAAAATTATCTACTGGAATTCATTTCCCCCCTTCCAGCAGTAAGTCTGGACTCTGCATTTATAAACCAAGTTGGAAGTGTGGAACAGCTTGTATTTGTTTCTTAAGGCGAGAGTAAACAAACACCTTAAAGTGTGTAAAAGTTTACAAACTGTTTTGTAAAAAGTTAGTGAATTAACTTGTTAAGATTTACTACACACTTTTTACTAAGCTGGATAAGTTTAAAGTAGTTGAATGTGCAGTGCCACAGCAAGCCACGCGGGTCCAAAAGAGCTCTCATTGAGAAGCCACGTGTCCGTTTCCAAAGCCTCTCCAACTTAACCACCTCCTTTGTACGACTAACCCACATCGGCAGCGTCCCTCCACATAAAGGGATTTGCAATTTCAAGATATTTCAGCTTAAATGTTTTTGACAGTTCCCTCGCTTTTACCTCGGCTTGGTTATTTTAACTGTGCCAAATGGGTCACCTTGGGTTGCTGTCTGCGCGCAAAGGGCTTTTGCGCGCATTCAGTCTGAATTTTTTCCAACTTTCCTTGACGGGGAAACCAGCTGCTGGTCGTGAAAAGACGGCTTATTAATTGTCCTTTGTCATGCAGAATTGCTTGATTTCTAAAGAAACGTACAAAGGCTCTTTTTCAGGATTCAAGTATTTTGTTTCGTGCGTATTTTCAAACCATCGAATCAGCTGCAGCGCCGCGCCGTCTACCAGACTCTCAGGTACTGACTGCCTGCTCCCTTTGTCCCCTTTTAATGCTGTTGTAAATCGTGCAGACTGATTTGTTACAAGCTGTTCTTTTAATCTGATAGATAAGAGACATGTCAAAGAAAAGCCGTAAATAAAAAATTAGCCAGAATAAAGACAAGGGCGAGTCTGCTAGATGGGCGCCTGTTGACTCAAGCGGCTCTCCAGCGTCAGGGGAGCCCTCTCCTCAGCTCCGTCAAGGTTACGTCCACAATTCCCTTTTCTTCTTTTTAAAAAGACACCGTAGTCCTTTTTGCTTCAATGAATTGATCGGCACAAAATTAAGAATAAATAAATTGAGCATTTGAAGCACCGAGCGTATAAGCTCCCCCAGGGCGCATACCCCCGGGCTATTGAATGGATAAAGGGCGCTTTGCAGAGGACGTTGTGAGCAAAATGGAGCTCTATGGTGCAATTAACAAAATGGTCTAATCCCATATCTTAACAAATGCAAATATTAGAGTTTTGTTAAAATGGTTAAGTGAACAATTAAATGAAAGTTTACAAGTGGAACTTCACATCCAAATAAGGCACGCTGATGCAGATAACGTGCTGTACGCAATTTAGGAACAGTTTTTAGTCTCTTTAGAAAACTCTAGCAGTACGTTTATACGGAGTAAATATAATTTAAAGCCTATTCAGCCTAATAAATATGACTTGGGCAGTCAAAGGCTCTAAAGAAGAGCCGCTGGTGCGGTGCGTAAAACGGGCAAAGAAATATGGAACTATACACCTAACTCATAGTTTGATATTTTGGACGTGTTTTATTTATAACATAATATTTATTTTAAACTGAAATAAAAAGAAAATTACACATACACTGATTTTACACTCGTTTTTCACCAGGAGAGCATTTTAGTTTTTTCCTAGAAGACTGGGTTTCTTTTTTTTTAATGACTGCCGCGTATTATTTGACAAATAATTCATTTGGGTGGTTTAAATCATTAACAATTTAAAAAAAAATGTTATGCTAATTAATATTTTTTTATGTTATCAAGTTACACGTGTCGAGTTTTAAGAGGTTTGTATGGGGCTAAAACACACAGAGTTTATAAAACCGACAACAATCTTGTGCACAGTGCTCCGTTAACAATTAGAACAATCTGGGTCACGGACACTAAACTGCGTCCTTTTCTCATTTATTTTCATGTTAGATCGATATCTTAAGTTATGCGCATTCCTGATGCACCATTATACACCCACAGTGATTATTTACTCGGTCACACGAGACAGATCGTTTCAGCTGGGATGAAACTTTGGGAGGAAAAAGCTCAGAAGGGCCAGGCAGCTATAGCTGGGTCGAGTGCCCCCCAGGGAAAGCGCGTAAGAGGTGTCCACGGTAATGCATTTATCGCTTCTGAGTGATAAAGATTATGAAGTACTTAATTTACTCCTTAGGCACGTAATATCCAACGCGCTTCTTCGATGTACAAGAACATTTTATTTGTGTGTACGACGCAGGGCAGTCTGGGAATCTCACGAGGGGAAATAGTAACACCAAATTTGTTTTGGGTTTCTGTGGGGAAAAAATTAACTCTGTTAAGCACCTTTAAAATCTCCCCAAAGCACCAACACACCCTGCAACCAGCAGCTTTAACGTTTCGTAAGGGAATATTAAAATATGCGTGTTTAATTAGCACAGAAACAGTCTAAGTTCTGAAAAGCCGAGCAAAGCGAACGTTTTCACGTAAGCGCAGCTATCCAAAGTTTTAATATATGAATGTCCCTATATCTTATTTTACTAGTTTAAATAAAGGTTACTAGATACAATTTCGAATATTTGTAATTGTACCTTTTTGGCTTTTTCCTTTTAAATTAATACCTAAACTAATATTTTCAGCCGGAATTCATGTTTGTCCCCGTGCGCATTCAGTGGCGCGCAAAAAAACATAAAATAATAACCCACAAGACAACGTAGTCTACCGCTCAGAAATATTTTATTTAAGTATGAACATTTTTAAATAAATAAATATTTTTTTTCAATTACACTGAAGATATAATTTCAGAGTGGTGTCGGCGGATTTCTCTCCAGCTTCCCATATTTTAAGTCACAGTTCCATCCACATAGAATGAATCTAACCAGTATTTACCAAGTATAGTACAAAATACTGTCTTCCCCAAAATACTCATTAACAATGTTGCTATTATTTGTTTGGGGTTTGTTTTTTGTTTGTTTTTTTTTGGGGGGGGGGGGGTATCTTTACAAATATGCCTACCATATTCATCGGATTGGCAACAACAAGTGACTGTTTTCAGAAAAAACTACATACAAAACGTACAACATGTATACAGCTATACAATAATTCAGGGCAGTCCCCTGATTTTAAAATATTCTCTGTCTATGTACAGACGACTGAACACAAGTGGAACAGTCTGTTTGTTTTTGGCTGTATTCAAAATCATCAGGAGCAAAATCTTTCAGAAAGGGGGGATCAAAGAGGGGGGCGTTCAGGGGGAGACGGACAGGTCCACATCTTCCTTTTCGGACGAGGAAGGAGATATGGGAATGTCATCATCCTCTTCCTCCGAGCACCTGGCGGTTGACAGGGACGAGCATTTGCAGTTATGTGATCCAGTCCTTTGGCCGCTGCTCTTTCCCTCCTTTTTGTGCTTCACTCTGCGGTTCTGGAACCAGATTTTTACCTGCTTCTCGGACAAGTTCAGGTACGTGGCGATCTCAATGCGCCTCAGTCTGGAGAGGTACATGTTGGAGGTGAATTCTCGCTCCAGCTCCAAAAGTTGCGTGCTGGTGAAGGCGGTGCGCATGCGCTTGCTGCTCTGAAGTTTGCCGTTACTGTTTTCTGAGAAAACAAACATAAACTGTGAGCCACGGGGGGAAATTATGGAAAGCAATTTAATAAAGCGTTTTCTGAACTCGATCAGTAGTTAAAACAGCCTCTACTCACCGATGGAGATGCAGTGGAACTGTCGAGGGTCTGGGACCGAGTAGGCAGCCTGGTATATCCCCGGTCCGTGGCTGAGGTTGACGCTGTTGGATGAAGAGTGTTGCCTCGTCAGAGCCGAGTGGCAGTACTGTGAGCTGAAGGGGGGAAACGATGCTTTGAGAAGCGGCAGCGTCGGTGGAGATGGATGGAGCTGGGAGGCGGTCATGCACAGCGGGCAGAAGCACAAAAGCCCGGCTTTCCTCGAGTGGCAGGAGCCTGGCAGCCCGTGCGCGTGATGCGGCGAGTGCACAGCGTACGGGAATAAAGGTGGGTTGTTCTCGTTCCCTTTGTCGTTGGCCTCCCTTAAAATCAAGGAATCCACGAGAAAAGATCTCGGCATGTTTGCAAACTTGTTGCTCGGCGTGCTCGAAAGTTGAAGTCGTTCGTGCTCGTTTGGTTGCGTCAGCGTGCTCTCTCCGGGACTGTGGACAGCGAAGTGGTGCTGAAGGCGCACAGCCTCTCCTTAAATAGCTGCCGTGGACTCGGTTCGGCCATGTGACGGTTACGCTGTAAGCGGCCAAGAGCTCTCAATAGGGTTTTGTGCCTTTCTCTCGGCATTCCCACTGCACGCTTCCCCATTATTTCACTTGTTAACTAAATGAACTGCATAATGTAGTCTATTCTTGTCAGCCCCACCCACGCCGCAAGAGGCGGCACAGCCCATTCTCCCTTTTATCATCATTCTCATTTTATCATAGAGACGAGCTTAAATTTGCGAGAGAAAACGTTTCTGTCACATTTGGAGAGCCGGCGTGCATTCAAGTTTTGTCTTAGACATTAACCAGTGTGTCTGAGTTAAAGTCTAAAGTAGGTCTGCGTGTCCCGGGGCAAGAGGTAGAGGTGGAGAGTCGCTGGTACACATTTACATTTATTCAAATATTTCAATCCAGCAGGTAAATTAGAGAGCAATTTCCCCGCAGTTGCTTTTAAAAATCAAAAGTTAATCGCGTCTATATATGGTGGAGCTGTCAAGGCAAAGCCGTCAAGTATTGTTAAAGTTTTTCTTTTTTTTAATTAACACCAGAAAACACCCATGATTCCAAAACCTACGTCTTTTATTTCTTTCTTTTTTTTCTCATTATTTGCGTTTGCATCCCGGCAGGTCTGTGTGTCTACTTTACTGACAGTGCAGAAAGAAGAAGAAAAAACATAAACGCAACAGCTGAATGTAAAGTTTATGCATATCCATTTTAGGGTTAATGTGTCATTTCTGGGCACAAAAAAAGGGACAAGTCATTGCCTGAAGCCAGTGCTGTTAAAGAGCAGTGATTAATTCCTTTGCTCGGGCCCCTGCCGAGTCGGGGGAAAGAATATGTAAAAATAACCAGGTTTTCACTCCGCGGCCCTTATTGAATGTCATTGTGGAGGGTTTTCAATGAGAGAGAAAGAGAGTCGAATTAAAGTGTGTGACAGCGGCGGATAGACCCAACAAAGGCGACTCTGTCATAGAGGAGCCCAGTGCGCGGTGCGTGAAGCCCCCGCCTCGCGCTCTGATTGAATTAAGTAATAGGAAAACATTTTCTTTCACTTTAAGGCTTTCTGAACAAGACCTTCAAAGAGACTTGGAGCCGTAATATGTGAGTAAATAGTGGAATGCGATTCTTCTTCTGCAGAGCTGCTTCTTTCCTAAGCACACAACGTTAAAGTACGACTAGACGTGACATAAAGGGTGAAAATCGACGCTTGTTTTCCCCTCTTTTTCTTTCCCTCTGATGTTCCTATACTTGACACGTAGGCCATCTTTTTTTTTTTTAATGTAAGAAAGGCTCCTCGTTGTCGCTTTATTGTTTACGTGTTCTGCTTTAAGCATCATTTGCCATAAATTGTCACGTCCAGGGAATTAGTCCTTCAGCTCCACAACACAGCCACATGACGGTGTGATGCTATCTGTTCTCTCCTCATAAAAGAGGCTTAATGCGCTCAGCTTCACACCACTAATCTTCCATAAAAAAAAAAAAAACAAACAAGACCTGTAATTAGGTGGCGCCATTAAAGTAGTTACAAATTAGGAGCAGTTAAACCCTTTAACGAGATCTCGTCATTAGGACAAAAACCTGTTATATGCGCGAGAGCCATTTTCAGATTTATTTATTTTTTGCATTAGTCCATCCTTTCATTTCCTGCCAGGAATGAGCCATTAACTAGTCTGTCAATCTTGCTGCAATCTCTGAAACCTGTAAATACGAATCTGCCGCTTTTGTTACGATTCCTAATTACTTAATACGTTAATGACATGTTTTCATCATACCTCAAAACACTCACCGAGAGCTTGCCAGCTTGAGCGCTAAAGCCCCCCCCCCCCCAAAATAAAATAATAGTAATAATAATAATAATAATAATAATAATAATAATAATAATGATGATGATGATGATGATGATGAAAAAGGAGGGGTAAAACGCGTCTCTCTCTTTTTCAATACAGGCCTCTAATCGCTTCAGATTTGAAAAGAATTATGCCTCATATCAAGCTTTCTCAGATATGCAGCCTACGCGGTGGCAGCTTGACGCATTGCTCGACATAAAGATGTTATCAGAGGCCCTAATTTTCAAATTATGTGCAGCAGTCATCCCGTGGATAGGAATAGAGGTTTCATGGGTCCTCTCGCAGGGGAGGCTCATCCTAATTTGCAATCCCAACTGGAGACTGACAAATAGTTTTGACCTCCCTCTGGAGGCGCGGGCCAGAAGTGCAAAGAATCTCATCCTCCATAATCACTTGTTACTGAGATAAGTAATCGAGGGAAAATAGCCTGCTCACATTATAACGGCTCATTTTTGCACTAGTTCCAAGCTGCAAAAATACACCTGTAGGCACTCATAAGGTTTATGCATCATCACCTCCACATCCACATGCACTTTTCTTTTTCTGTTAATTTATTTAATGTTTTGTCACAAACCAGTGAGCCGGACTAATTCAGCATAGCTTCATGCGTTCAGTAACTAGCAGCTGTGGGTTGGTAAAGCTTCTTAACATTAATGTTTGATGGGGAGGGGAAGCCATACCCCTGAAATAGTAAATTATTTATAAGATATTAAGTTGGAACAATTGCCATCACTCAAATTCATCCCTGATGATAACACTGACCAGTGCCTGCTGTGCTGTTGGAGAAGCACATTTTCAGGGGCTTTTACGCAATTATACCCAAAGATCTCGTGCCTGATGACATAAAGAGAGCAGTCTGTTTATGGAGATGTAGTCAATATCTCCTTTTCTTTTTGGTATGAATAATTCATAGTTTAAGACACTATCCCTCCCTCACTTAATATGTACACACACTTAAACACCCACACATCTCTAATACAAATGATGGTTTTAGCTGACAGTGTAACAGGATTTAAGGTCCCAGTGGGGTTTGGCCCAGCCGCGGATGGGCGCTGTGACTGTCGACGTGACACAGAGGGCCGGCTGCCCCTCCTAATCTCCCCCTGAGGCAACATCACAGGCTGCAGATCCTGCTGCACCTCTATGGACGCACAAAGGCCTGATTATCATTCATATGCTCACCAGAAACACCAGTCCAATAGATAACAGATGACACGTAAGTACCAGCTGAATGGTGCAATATGTTTAGGCTGCTGGAGTCTATAGGGACTAATGAATCCTTAAGAGAGAGGGAGACGGACAAAGAGAAGCTGTCAGTCAAGGTACCATAATGTGACAGATATAAGGTTCCACAGGTGAATTGGGAATTGAGCAGACCAGAGAAGTTTTGTGTTAAATATTCTGTTGAAAATGTAAGTATCATGTTTTTATGGGTTTTCAACATTCAAACAGATCTGTAATGAAAATTTCAAATATGTGTATATATATATATATATATATATATATATATATATGAATACCTTTTTTTAGTAGGGGCCTGTCAGTAATTATTTTGATTTGAGGAAAAATTCGAAAATGACAAAAATTTATGTATAATCACAACTTAACTCAGCTTGGCCTCACAATTAATCAGATCAAATTTAACCTTTACCTAAAGTTTCAAGAAACTGCTAAGTGAGACTTACATTTTCAACACTTCTGATGTACAGTTCTTAAAAAATGTATTTTTTTTGTTGAAATTTGTTTTTATTTTTATAGTCTCAAAAATGAATGTTTTGTCCTTGAGTCGGGTTTGTACGTTTGTTGACATCTGGTTGCCTTTTTACTGATGAGAAAAACTCAAAATACCATGTCTATTAACTTTTTTACATTCCCTGTTTCAATGTTGCTGCATCAGGAGTGGAGATCAGTACATTACAAAACACATGCATTATGGTTTGCCTTTTTGTAAAACTGATTTTTAAAGGAATCACATTCAGAAGATCAGAAATGTGTCGAAATGTGATTAAAATTGATTATTCCATTCTTGTTTTGCAAGCCTGAAAATGGTGGAATACATGAGGTTTTCTTTGGAGTTTCCTGGTGTCTTTGGCCCAACACTGATATGTATAACTTGGACCACTTTTATTGATATGAATGTAACATTTCCAGACACATTCAATCCAAAATGCTCTGCCACAATATTCCCACTCAATCAGTTTTCATCTGTAAACAAGTACACAACCCTTTTGTTTCAGCACAAATCAAAGCTTAGATTTGTGTAAACCATGCACAACACTTTTTATTGTACAGTGGGGCAAAAAAGTATTTAGTCAGCCACCGATTGTGCAAGTTCCCCCACTTAAAATGATGACAGAGGTCAGTAATTTGCACCAGA